TGCCCCAAACTCTGATTAATTCATGATTTAAATATAAAAACTCGACGGACGTACGATAAGGTTACGTGTGTACGCTAGCTTGAACCATATATATACATACATATATATATATATATATATGTAAATGTGTGTGTGTGCGCGGGGGGGGGGGGGGGGGGGGCGTGTGTACGATCATGAGAGCGGGTTAAGGATTTTCGATGATAATAATATTAGTTGAGAGCTACAACTCTCAAGGAGAGTCATGTTCACATCGAATAAGGAAACCACGTAAATCATGTGCCGTCTTTATTTTTACATGATTTTCATGGTATCAAAGCATTTGATGCATAATGGTAATGACGACATACATGTGCATACTCATTTAAGCTCTTTGATTCCCTTCCCACTATGTTCAACGAAGATGATGATTTTGATAACATGGTGGCCATTCCCCAGATTCCCAAAGATGAACTTGGTCCACCTCCTATGACCCCTCTATGCAGTTCGTCGCCTATTGACCCTGCTCTTGTCATTCCTTGCCACTCCCAACGAACTTCCCAAGGGAAAACATTATCCTATCTATCTCAACATTACGTTACCTATGTTGCAGCTCCTTGTGTTGTTCCTCATCATTATCGACAGGCTAAGGGAGACCTTAAGTGGGACGTCACAACCATGATGCATGAAATTACAGCCCTGTGAGAACCGCAAACATGGGATTTGGTCCCTCTCCCTCAACCTTCTATTCATGTGGTTGGTTCTATGTGGGTATTCACCATTAAACTTCATCAGGACGGGTCTTTGGATCGGTGTAAAGCCCATCTTGTTGCTCAAGGTTTTAGTTGGGAGTTTGGCATCGACTATGAAGCAACCTTTGTCCCTTTAGTTTGTATGCAAACAATTTGTAGTATTTTAGTTGTCACCTTCATCAGATAGTGGTCACTACGACAGTTGGATGTTAAGAACGCCTTCTTACATGGGGATTTGAAGGAAAATGTTTATATGGAGCCACCTCCCGGCTATTTGCACGGTGACACGTCTCGAGTGTGTCGCCTTTGATAGTCTTTATACTATCACAAACAAGTCCCACATGCGTGGTTTGATAAATTGCATGAGACACTGCGCCAGGCTGGTTTCAATAAGAGTACTAGTGATCCTTCTTTGTTTATCCATCGTACAATTCATGGGATAGTTCTACTCTTTATCTATGTCAATGATATAATTGTCACGTGTAGTGATCAAGAAAGCATCTTACTACGTCTCTACAGTCAAGCTTTAATATCAAGGATCTGGGTGAGCAATCCTACTTTTCAGGATCAAAGGTTCAATGTATTGCCAATGGTATATTTTTCACACAAAAAAGTATATTGCTTGCTGTTTTTTTTTTCTACTCCTATGTTGAGCAGGGAATTGAACATAAACAATCATGTGTTGAAACTCCTGAACATAATGCAAGGGTAGAAAGAAAACATCAACACATCTTAAATATTGCTAGATTTCTTTGATTTCAGTCTGGACTTTCTATAAGATTCTGGAGTGACTGTGTATTGCGTGTTGTCTACCTCGTTAATCGGATTCCTACCTCAATGCTTGGTGATAAGTCACCTTATGAATGTTTGTATAACAAACCACCCAGTCTTGTTGCTCTGAAAGTTTTTGTCTGTCTGTTTAATGTTACTACCTTACATAGAAACAAAACAAATTTTGATAGCAGGGCTAGGCGGTGCATCTTTCTTGGTTTTTCCTTAGGCATTAAAGGTTCCAAACTCTATGACATAAACTCTCACACCTTCTTTATATCTCGTGATTTCACATTCTATGAAACCATCTTTCCCTTTGATACTAAACATTCTACGCCTTCTTCTACTTTATTAGACCCCATCTTCCCTACTTTTTGCCTTCCAGTTCTGTTCCAATTTCTTCCTAAAATGCCTCCAACACCTCATCTTCAAATCAGTTTTCATATATTCCTTCAACTTCTTCTCATAATCCTTCACCTTCTTCTTCAGACTGCCTACTGCCTCTGATGTCCAAGCATTGGATGTGTTGTCTAGTTTGTATTATGTGGGGGGAGGAAGCTGAGATTGAAGTGTTTCCTGATGATAATGATACCGATGAGGATGAATATCTTGGGAAGTCTAGTAGAGCTCGTACAGTTCATGTATGGCATAAGGATTACCATGTTAAAAAAGCAGCTTCTTGTATTAAGCACCATGTATGCCACTACTTCAACTATGAGCAACTTACACCTGCTCAAAGGAATTTTGATTTGAGTATCATGGTCAATGAAGAACAGGAACCTACCTGACTCGATCCGAATATCACAATAAAATCTCACCTAAAGCCCAAGTATAAACCTTAGATGGGTGCAATATAGGGCAAGTATGTTTAAATATCAACCCGGGCCAACCCATGTACCCCTACTTCAATTGTTTGAAACATTATCTAGCGGAATATTGTTTGTTGAAATCTCTACGATATACTTTTTAAAAGCAAGACTTGAAAAGTAAAAGGATGGAAAACTCTTGGTGAGAAGCTTCACTCGAGAATTGCTTGCCCCTAACTAACTACCATGAACCGTGGGATAGAATGACTCAGTCGTAACAAGGAAATTGTGACCCGTAGGAGGTGCAACAATGGTTAGAAACCATCCTCTCAATTGCTAGGCCAAGGAAATCATTATAGGCTACAATTGTACCCCTCTTGGCACACATGCAAGTGAGGGTTGACTTACCTTCTCCCTCAAACCAAGGCTTGGACGGCATAATCACAATTAACCTAGGTGTCTAATTCAAGTTAGAGGTTTGCCCTTCATTAACCTAATTAGGAGGCATGGAATACCTAAGAAACCCAACTCAATTTGAGCCTCTTAAGATAAGGGGGCTTCTCTCTAAACTAGGTTAGAATATCACAATAGATTACTAAGCACACACAATGCACAATCACCATGAAAAATACCTTAATTCTTAAATTAAACACCACCATCACACAATCATTCAATCCACACAATCAATTACATGATAGTAGTTAGGGTTCTACAACACCCAAGTGCAAAAGGAAAACTACTCCATGCTAGACAAAGGAAGACCACAAAGGAAGAAGAAAGAAACCATCATTGTGATGCCTTCAACTCTCTTTGTTCTTGTAGAGATCCTCTCTTGAAGAGAAACTTCCAAAATCTTCACTTGGAGCAAACCCTAGCCTCTTCTCCCTCTTGGTTCATGCTTTCTCTCTCTAGGGTTTCAAGAAGAAGAAGGTTTCTCTCAATTTTGGGCTCTTCCTTCTTCTTCCTTTCATCTCTTAATTTATACACAGATCGTGCCCAGTTCACGGCCCGTGAACATCAGGTCGGGACCGCGAACACAGATAAAAACGTGCCGCTTCACTTATGGAGTTCACGGTCCATGGCTCCTGTTCACGGTCTTACGACCTTGAACTACCTCGGCATCAGTAATCTCTGAAACTCCTCTAGATGCTTTGCGGTTCATGGTTTGTGGTTCCAATTCACGGTCCTGGCGACCGTGAACTCCAAGCTGGATCCTCCTCTTTGCCCGGTATTTGCGCCTTTTCTTCCAACTTTCGACTCCAGGGTTGGTTTCACCTGTTAGACTCTGAAACACATTGAAAAACAAGAAACCTAGTGTAAAACTACCCTTTTACGAGCTCAAATGCCACAAACGCCAAAAAGAAACGGGGATTTTAAGTGTACAATTAGGTTTGAATCACTACCTTATATGCAGAAGCTTTCAAAGATCCAAGATGGAATCAAGCCTGTAATGAAGAGTTGGCATCCGTGTATGAAAATCAAACATGGGATGTTGTGAAGCTTCCCAAAGGGAAAAGCACCGTAGGAACCAAATGAGTGTTTAAGATCAATTATAAGGTAGATGGAACAATTGAGAGATTCAAAGCAATATTAGTAGCCAAAGGCTACACTCAGATCTATATATTAACTTTGTGAAAACTCTCATGGCAGTTGTAGCTTCCAAAAGGCTCAAGTTTGGCTTACAACGTATGGCCTTAGGCAAGCTAGTCAGCAATGGTTTGCTTAGCTAACTAGTGCCCTTATGAGGAATGGTTACTCTCAAACTCTGCTTAAGATTATTCCATGTTTGTTAGATGGATTTAAGGAAGAGTTGTGATGGTCCTGGTATATGTTGATGACATATTGATTGCTCGTAGACGTAGTCATCTTGGGTAGGAGTGGAAAACTGTCTAGTCCGGTTGAATCGGACTGGATTAACCCAGTTTTTTATAAATGTTCTATCCAATACCACAACGAAGATGGGAATGGATTGCATTCTGTTTTGATCCAGTCCGATATAGTTTTTACCCAAAAATCGAAATTAAACCAATTTAACTTAAATGGTGCCGAGTGAGTCATTTTTTAAATCGACTTGCCATCAAGTTAACGGTCCGGTCAGCAGTCCCACGTGGCATGTCATAAAAAAAATTGTCGGAGTTAACGAAGTCTGACGATCGATTACTAATGGTGAAACGAAAAGTATAGTTAGTGACGAATAAGAAAGGAAAATAATTTGGTTGACAAACATAAAAGATTTGTTTAATTTGAATGACCAAACCTGTAATTTAGAAGGAGAAAAAACTCTTAGCTTCACAAGAATGGACAAAATACTTCGATCCGGTTCCTCAATGACCCATCCAGACGGTCGGATCAATATAACGCAGGCGGTCTTTGACCCGATCAGCCTGGATTTGATCAACGGTCAGAAATCTGAATTGGCGCGCGCGCAATTTCATCGGGCAGAACTAACTACTTGTTCTTGCTTCAAACCTCCAATTGCTTGACGGCTAAAGCAACTACCAACTAGATGGGTTTTGGCGGCAGAAAATCAGAAGCCATATTCCATCCTCTCTCAGTTTCTCTCCGCATTTCGTTCCCCCTGTGCAGCGCGAAATATCACTGGAAACAAGAAAGAGAGCGAAGGCAACACTGAGAAAAAGGGAAGATCAAGAAAAATCGGCGGCCTGAGTCAGCCGTTTGTTTGGTCGCCGAGAAAATGGACGACGAGGAAATGGTGATGTTCCAATCAGATTGGTGCTCTCCAAGGCGACTCCACGACAGCCCCACTGAATACCACTTTCCCGTAAGAAAATTTCCCCTTCTTTCTAATTACGCAATGATCCCATTTCACAGTTTCCTTCACACTTTCTCCCCTGTTTGTTTGCCAAGAAAGATTCTGGGTTCTTATTTGCATTACATTCTCTTTCTTTTTTTTCCTTTGATAAGGCTGATCGTTACATCCCCAACAGAAGCTTGATGAATCTTGATCAAGTCCGTAGCTCCTTCACAAACGGAACCAGACCACTCTACAATCCCAAGTTCAGTGTAAGTTCTGGGTTCTGGTATCCTAATTTCCTCTGCCCTTTCACTACCTTGGCGGAATTTCCAGGATTTCTAATGAGTAATATGGCATTCTTTTTTGTTTCTTCCAATGGAGGCAGGATCTTTACAGGAGGAGGTTATCAGATAGCCTAACTCTCGACTCAGAAGGGAAACCCTTGAGGATGTTGGTTTTCAGAGGAAGCCCCAAATCCAGCCGTAAACCTCTTCGTTTCATCGACCAGATGCGACAGGAAGACGCAGCGGCACTCTCTCGTGCTCACCAAACCCATCAACCTCGCCGTTTGCCCAAGGTGTTTTCCGTTGCTCTCGTACACGCTTAACCTGTCTCATGTTTCTCATCATTGCTGACGAGAAATTTGGTTTCTTTTGCAGAAAGAAACGAGGATCCTGGACGCTCCAAGGATCAGGAATGACTACTACGGCAGCATAATCGACTGGGGCAAGAACAATGTGCTCGCCATTGTTCTAGGGAGGGAATTGTACCTCTGGAACTCCCTGAACCAGTCAGTAACCAAGTTGTTGGACGTTGAGCAGCTTAGCATCAACGACGACCACGACCGTCCCATCAGCGTAGCTTGGTCGCAGGATTCGAGGAGCTTGGCGGTTGGTTACATGTTCTCCAAGCTGCAGCTCTGGGATGTCGAGACTTCCAAATGCGTAAGCTACTAAGATCTCGTAAGAAAACCGCCTAATGTTCAGCACATGTGAGAATTGAGATTGACTGAATGTTTCTGTTTGCCAAGGGTTGTTTCAGATTCGAAGCCTGCAAGGGCATACGTCGAGGATTTCAACGATTGCCTGGAACGGTCATATTGTAACATCAGGAAGTCGAGATAGGTCCATCACGAACCATGATGGTACACTGCACGCAAACCTGGCTGACTTGATTTTGATGTTCATATTGTTTTTCTTTAGTTAATGTTTCGCTTGGTGATTCGGAACAGTGAGGGCAGGCAGCAGCCCGATTTCGTGCATAGTAAGGCACACAGATGAGGTTTGCGGGGTGAAATGGTCGGGAGGAGGCAACTTGCTTGCGAGTGGTGGGAACGAGAACTCGGTCTACATTTGGGAAGCTTCGAAGATGAGCTCGTCCAAATTTCTGCACCGCTTCACCGAACATACAGCTGCTGTCAAAGCTCTCGCATGGTCTCCTTACCAGTTCGGGGTACTTGCCTCGGGAGGAGGAACAAATGATAGGTGTATCAAGCTCTGGAATACTCAGAATGGAACCCGTTTGGCAAGTGTTGACACTCAAGCCCAGGTAGGTGCATTTTTCCATTTTTTTGGTGTTGCATTGGAATAGCAGAACAAAAGCTTGCTGATTGATGGTGAGATAAACTTTGCCAGATATGTGGACTGGAATGGAACAGACATCATAAGGAGATCCTAGGTGGGCATGGATATGGCACCGGGGCGCTCAGAAATCACCTGTCCTTGTGGAAGTACCCCTCCATGGAAAGAGTTGGGGAGCTTAGAAATCATAACTCAAGAATAATCAGTCTCTCTCAGGTTTTTCTGAGTTGCCAATTGGGGGTTTCTTATTGGTAAAGCATGGACCAGGGTAATTACTCACCTTTTTTCTGGTTTTTGTTGCAGAGTGCTGATGGATTAACTGTGGTTTCAGCTGGCGCGGATGAAACTCTTAGGTTCTGGGAGATCTTTGGGCCACCATGTAAGGAGAAGCTTTCAGATCTTGACAGCCTTCTATCTCTCAAAACATTTCCCATGAGATAGATAGACTGCTTTTTGAACTGAACCCAGTATTGGTTTACAAAGGACCCTTTTTGCCTATTCCATTGTAAATTACTGCCTATCACTAGAAGGTTATAACTGTGAATAGACGTCAGAAAGTGAAGGAAATCAAAGATTTTGGGGACAAAAGCATCTCATTGAAAATGTGATGGTCCTCACACAGCCATTATGTGAAATACAAAAGTACTAATTGTCTGTGTCGTCCTGGTCATCACTATCTATATACATCTCTACTGGTCGGCTGTCACCAATGTCACCTTCCTCTCTCTTCTTCCTCTCATCATCTTCTCCTCTCTTAGATGCTCGAGCTTTCGCAGCTTCACGTCTCGCATTCACTGCTTCCCGCGACACGAGCTTCTCTATGAAGGTGCATATGTAGTCAGGTCGTCGATTCTGCATCGAGAGCAGTAGGAGTTTAGAACTCAAGTCATGAGTGGAAAAAACTATTAAGAGTTGAAAGAGTACTCTATGCTGTTGAACAAAAATCAGAGATGAAGCAAGTCAGTTAGAGCTTAATACATTTTAAGTTAAACATTGCAGAGAGATGGGTAGGGTTTTGATAAGTACCTCCCAAACATCGAAAGTCAGAAGAGGCTGCAATGGGGGATTGTTGGGATTTGAAAGGTGTGAATGAGAATGAAAGGGGAAGAAGCCAATAGTTGGTGAGTTATTGGTTAAACCAAGTTGAACCGAATCGGACCGAACCGATGTGGCGGTTGGAATGAACCAACCGGTCCAACTACTATGGCGAACCGATGCAATGGTTGGGGTGTAACCACCCACTTGAAGGGTCACATCCCTTCACTCGCACCCCTTCATTATCTATAAATAAACACCTACCCCCTCTGTTTTATATACAAGATTTTTCCCAAGAAATTTTTCTGGCCGAAAAGATAAAAGAATTTTTCATTCTTCATTGCATTTCCTCTCTACAAACTCATAAAGGAAAACAGAGTCGTGTGACTTCTCTCCGATCGTTGCGTTCGTCGGATTCTGGTGTTTCAAGTACCGGTACAGCCAGAAAAGGTACGTCCGTTCTATCCTGGGAGGAATAGTTCCAATAAACCTTGGGTACCGTAGAGGGGAACTAAATTCCTTAAGGAGAAATAGTGAATTCTATTGGCTCGGGCGTTGTTTATGCATGTGTCGATTTCTATATATGACTTGTGTGGCAAGAAACATATTTTTTTTTGAATCGTTTTCCATAACAATCTTAAGGAATTTATATTGGTTTTATTCACGTGGACTGTTTCTTCACAAAGTTAATATAGACATCTGTTTGTCATAGTGATTATGCATGTATAGGATTCTGTTTGTATTAGGAATTAATAGAACAGTGCATGATTTTGTGTGAAATTAAGTTAAATGCATATATATATATATATATATATATATATATTTGGCGCTGTGTTTTTATTGTCATTGTTTCTGTGTCTGTATGTTTGTTAATCTCTGCCTATAAAGGGTTCTATTGTTTCCGATCATTTATTCTGGGCGAGCATGATGGAGTGACTGGATTCATGCATATAACCGCCTCTGTCTATTGATATATATATTGTCTCTATAATTGATTTGCTACTGTTTCAATACTGATATATATTGTGGTCATATATAAATATTCTTTCTTTGAAAAAAAGAGTGTGATTTCCTACTGCGGACGAGTTTAAACCTTTTCGGTTTTCTACTCGTAGGTATTAGTGATTACTAATACGTGTTGTGGTTTCTATTTCAAGAGAAAGGAAATAGTGAAGAACAAAGATGTCTTCTGGTTCTGGAATAAATGGGGAGAACCCAAATCCGGTAACATCAACTCAAAGTACTCCACTTCAAGTTGCTACTCACTCGCTTGCACCGGCGGAGAAACCAGGCAAGTTTTCCGGTGTAGATTTCAAGCGTTGGCAACAAAAGATGTATTTCTATCTCACTACTTTGGGACTTCAAAAGTTCATCAAAGAAGAGATCCCAAATCCTAACGAGGAAGTGCCAGAGAAAGATAGATTTCTTGCAGTTGAAGCTTGGAAACATTCTGACTTCCTTTGCAAGAATTATATTCTAAATGGTCTAGATGATATTTTGTACAATGTCTATAGCACCATAGGGACCTCTAAGGAATTATGGGAGGCGCTAGAGAAGAAATACAAGGCCGAAGATGCCGGATTGAAGAAATCCATTGCGGCTAAGTTTTTGGAGTATAAGATGGTTGATTCCAAGGCCGTTGTGACGCAAGTCCAAGAGCTTCAGGTAATTACTCATGATCTTCTTAATGAAGGAATGATCATTAACGAAGCTTTTCAAGTTGCTTCCTTCATAGAGAAGTTGTCTCCCGCATGGAAGGACTTCAAGAGTTACCTAAAGCACAAGCGTAAGGAGATGACGCTTGAGGACCTAATTGTCCGTCTAAAGATTGAAGAGGACAATAGGTTGGCCGAGAAGAAGAGCCGTGGACAATCAACCATCTCTGGTGCAAACATTGTGGAGAGTGACTCCAAGGGAAAGAAGAGGAAGAGAAACTCTATCCCAAGTTCTTCCGGTACAAAGAACCACTATGGTAACAAGAAGATTAATGGTAATTGTTTCATGTGTGGGAAACAAGGGCATAAAACCTCGATGTGCAAGACCCACAAGAAGAAGAAGAACAAAGGTCAAGCTAATATTGTTGATGATATGGATATGGATGACCTTTGTGCCGTTCTTTCTGAATGTAACTTGGTAGGGAATCCAAGAGAATGGTGGATAGACTTTGGCGCTACCCGCCATGTTTGTGCAGTCAAAGAGATGTTCACTTCCTACTCTTTGGCTAAAGCGGAGGAGAAATTATTCATGGGGAACTCCTCGACGGCCAAGGTCGAGGGATATGGAAAGATTGTCTTGAAGATGACATCGGGCAAGGTTGTGACCCTCAACAACGTCCTCCATGTACCGGAAATTCGCAAGAATTTGGTGTCTACCTCGCTTCTTGTCAAGCAGGGATTCAAAGTTGTGTTTGTTTCCGATAAGGTTGTAATTAGCAAGAATGATGTGTATATAGGAAAAGGTTATCTTAATAATGACCTTTTCAAGCTCAATGTAATTACCGTGAACGATGTTATTAATAATAATAATAACGCTTCTTCCGCGTATTTACTTGAGTCGAATTATTTGTGGCATGCCCGTTTGGGACATGTGAATTACAAATCCTTACGGAAAATGATAAACATGGAAGTGTTGCCCAAGTTTGAATGCAATAAATCTAAATGTCAAGTATGTGTGGAATCAAAGTTTGCGAAACATCCCTACAAGTCGATAGAAAGAACTTCTGAACCCATTGGACTTGATTCACACTGACATTTGTGACATGAAGTCGACACCATCTCGAGGTGGGAAAAAGTACTTCATAACATTTATCGACGATAGCACTAGATATTGCTATGTATATTTGCTAAGTAGCAAAGATGAAGCGATTGATGCATTCAAACAATTCAAAGCAGAGGTTGAGAACCAACTCAACAAGAAAATAAAAATGGTCAGAAGTGATAGAGGTGGTGAATATGAATTTCCATTTGAAGAAATATGTCTAGAAAATGGAATTATTCACCAAACATCGGCTCCATATACCCCACAACAAAATGGAGTTGCGGAAAGGAAGAACCGAACTTTGAAGGAAATGACGAATGCATTACTCCTAAATTCGGGTTTACCTCAGAATTTGTGGGGGGAAGCTATTCTTACTGCTACACAAATACTCAATAGAGTACCGTACAGTAAGACGCAAACCATTCCGTATGAAAAATGGAAAGGTAAAAGACCAAACTTGAATTACTTCAAAGTGTGGGGGTGTTTGGCAAAGGTTCGAGTACCAAAACCAAAACAGGTCAAATTGGGACCTAAAACGATAGATTGCATCTTTATTGGTTATGCCAATAATAGCAAAGCATATAGATTTTTGGTCTATAAATCAGAAATCTCTGACATCCATCCTAATACGGTTATAGAATCTGATAGTGCAGAGTTCTTTGAGAACATATTTCCGTATAGGGATAAGGATGTAGTCGTTGGAGAAAGCTCCAAGCGACCTCGGGATGATTCATTGAAAAATGATTCCAACATTGATGAGCCACGACGTAGTAAACGTCAAAGGGTGCCTACGTCATTCGGTCCCGATTTCTTAACATTTTTGTTGGAAGATGAGCCAAAGACATTTGAAGAAGCGATGAAGTCTTCTGAAGCTCAATATTGGTTGGAGGCCGTCAATAGTGAAATTGAGTCCATTTTGAATAACCACACATGGGAATTGGTGGATCTTCCTCCCGGTTGCATACCATTGGGATATAAATGGATCTTCAAAAGGAAGTTGAAAGCTGATGGTACTATTGACAAGTACAAGGCAAGACTTGTGGTCCAAGGATTTAGACAAAAGGAAGGCCTTGACTATTTTGATACATACGCCCCAGTCACAAGAATTACATCTATTCGGATGCTAATTGCTTTGGCTGCCGTGTATGGTCTACAAATCCATCAAATGGATGTGAAAACGGCCTTTCTAAATGGCGACCTGGAGGAAGAAATCTACATGAAACAGCCAGAGGGGTTCGTTGTCCCTGGACAAGAACATAAGGTGTGTAGATTGGTGAAGTCCCTATATGGACTTAAACAAGCACCTAAACAATGGCATGCTAAATTTGACGCAGTTATGTTGTCAAACGGTTTTCGGATTAACGAATGTGATAAGTGTGTATATATCAAGAACACACCTAATCACGAAGTCATTGTTTGTCTATACGTAGACGATATGTTGATAATGAGTAAGAACGTTACTGACATAGAAGAGACAAAGCGAATGCTATCAAGATCTTTCGACATGAAAGACTTGGGTGAGGCGGATGTTATTCTTGGAATAAAGATATCTAGAACGCCTCAAGGTCTTGCATTATCGCAATCTCACTACATAGAGAAAATTCTTGATAAATTCAAGTATTTGCATATCAAAGAAGTGCACACGCCGATTGATCCAAACCTTGTTCTTACAAAGAACGAAGGTAAAAGTGAATCTCAAGAGGATTACGCACGAGTTTTGGGATGTCTAATGTACATCATGAATAGTACTCGACCAGATATTGCTTGCGCAATA